ACACACTCTGCTGTAAACATAGTGTACAGTACCATGTGAGTAACATATCTTTCTGCTTAATAAAGAGGTAAAAGGACTGTAAAAGAAAGCAGGGAACTCTTTCTATGGTTTTACTGGGTTCTTACCACAAAGTTAAAAAAAAACGCCACTTGTAACACAAGTGTAAACGGACTGTAAGAGAATGCAGAATTCGTCACAATGGTAATACCTGTTTATTGAGGCCTTTTGACAACTCTGTCTTTTGACATAATAATTCCTGTACATTACAATGTACAATATTAAACCTTACCAGGCATCTATGGTCAAACTGTGTTGTAAAAGGAAACGGTACAGATGACCACGATTTTACTCTGTTCTTGAAGCTTTTCTAATGTAAACCATACATACATAACTGAACATTTCAGTACATTTGGTAAGTACAGGCAACCTGCCCTGTAAAAGAAATCTTTTATCTCAGACAAAATATTATTCACACTTAGGTACTCTGTCCTGAGAAGTGAAAATCGTACCATTTAAACATTATACTACAAATTATGTGAAAAGAACTAAACAGTAATGGTTATATTCACTTATTTACCAATGGCTTTCTAGATTTTTCACCCTCAAACCTTGTAACATGCTCTAATATCTTTGAATAAACGGGCAAGTAGTCCATTCCTGTGTTGTCTTCCCAGCCAATAATTCCACTCTATATACTTTAAATTCATTTTTAGAGACTTCTCTGTCAAGTTGCCTCTGTACCTATAGATGTCCTCTTTGTAATTTCGCCAGGCCCTTTCAATATGCTGGGTGTGAGCTCCATTCCCAGGATGTACAAAATGTCTTTGGTGATTGACTTGATAGTGGATATATCCATGCTGAGCCAATCTGTTGTAGGCACGCCAAGAATCACTAATTATATGAGATCCAGATCTAACATACTTCCTTACAATTTGCAGTAAACACCTCCTAGATCGATTTTTCGTAAGTTTTAAAATGGGACGCCTTGTGGAACGCTTCACCTCCAGCAAGCCAAAAACCCATGACCTCCTTCGCCAAGTCTGTCCTCGCCTCCCTCGTCCACACTTTATTAAACAAAAGATAGAATTAAACAATATTCACCTTTCTTTTGTGTCTGAATTTGCTCTCATAGATTGCAGCAAAAGCTCTCTGCCCTCCAATTTTCATTTTTCTTCTTCTCTCATGTCGCCTTATTGCTCGTCCACACACTTTTCGCAGATGTGTAGTCACGCTGGTCAAGGATTTGCTGCTCCCACATACACCATCTTCTATCATATCAACGTGTCTCTTCCTCAAGCCCTGCATCAGACTTGTTCAAATAATAACATTACATACTGTCACATTAAGGCACTAAAAATGGTTAAAGAATGAGACTCTCAGGACGAGAAAAACCTTGAGGTATAAGGTGGGAAGAATTTCTGAACTTTTAAAAAACTACAATTACATTGTGCTGAACTTTTAGGACTATACAGTAAGTGCTGGAAGGCTACACATGCTTGCAACAAGGTACTCAAGCATGCTTTTTTGTGTTTGAAAGACAGATTGTTAACCTTGCTTCTAAGAAGCTAGAAAACACATTTCACACATTTCCCACCCATCGAAAATCCACCCCAATGCAGCTGTAGTTTCTCTCACCCTTGTTCAGGGTCCTTTAATTGCAGCACAGCACAGCACTGCTTGATTTCTTTGTTCAAGCTACTCAAACTACTAAACTTGGCAATTAACAGACAAGATCAATCAGTGTTTACGCAAGAAAATAATAAAACTGTGCTGTGTGCTCCAGGGCCAGAACCGAAGAACCAATCAACAGAAGGGTTTTTTTCTAGTCTCTTACAGTGTCTCTTTAAAGTAAAACATTGCTAAAAAGTATTGGCAACGTAATTATTGAAAACACTGATGCCAAACCTTTGAACAGTTGTGTATGCACTTAAAGAGATAACTTACTAACCTGTGAATTATTTGCAACCAGGAGGACAAAGAAATGTGAGACCGGGAAAATATGGAGTCCTTTCTGATGGAGCATGTGATGTTCCTACCCCTGTGGTTTGCTCTTCTGCACATCCTGGAAAATGAAACACAACAAAAAGATCATTTGTACCGAATTATAGATCAAGACTCAACTATAGGCAATCCAGTTCATGCCTATTTACATGACTACAATAATTATCAAGACTTCTTGCCTCTACAGACGGGACAATCAGAGAGTTCTCGAATGAGATGGCAAGATCATGATGAGGGCCTGTAGTTGCAGGGATACTACTGGACTAGACTGTATAAACTATATAAAAGCATGTGAAATGGGTGTGAATACCTAACCTTTGAATGAATTTCAGTGTGCATGCAGCTTCTCTTTGATACTGAAGAATGAAGGGATGGTTAAGAAAGTTGGCTGTATGCCCTTACAGGTTATGTGTCCCTCACGACTGACCATGAAGCATTCAATACAGCTTGCTGTTTTCTCACCTGAAACAAAGCAAATGAAGAGTTAAGCACTGGCAGCAAGGATCGAGCCATTTTAGTGAAATACAAAATTGTTGTTGACTTATGCAGATTCTTTATAAACATAGCAACAGTAGCATCCGAGGAGCTGCCAGTAGGTTGGGAATCCTCTTCATGTCAGCTGCAGTGCCAAACAACTAGAACACATGCCGATTTAATGGTTTAGTTTACTCAGAATAACAACAGCATGTACCACACACATGTATCTTTCCCTCACTGAAGTACCAGTATCACCACTGAACAGATTCCTTAATTTCCCCTCTTCAGAGCTAGTTATATGAAATAGTCTAATATCAACCATAGGCTAGCACGCTGCAAATGCTTTCAGACAACAACCAGCTAAACAACATGAGTGTGGTATATTGTGTGGAGAGATATAATGAAGATATAATGTTACTCAGGCCAAACACTTACACACATGTAAGACATTTTCTCTAACAAAACTGTAATTTCACTTTCAAAAAAACACTGACAGGATCACAGAATTCAGCTGTTAGCTAATTTAGTTAGCTAGTTATCAAATGCTCCCTCTCTCTCCGAATTCCTCTCGGTAAATCAAGTTCATTCACACAAACCAAATCTAACAATAACAAGTCTGGGGCAATTGACATATTAACTAATAGATTTTAATATAAAAGGTTACTTTGTCCAATTGCACAGGAGGTAAAGGCAAGCTTAAGGGAAAATGTGCTGCTAAGATGATATCCAATCTTGCTAGCATTTGATGGCTAGTTGTTGAATGTGCTAAAAGGACAAAAAAGTAGTCTCCTACAAAATGATAATTTAGACAGTTGGAAATGTTACAGATGAGTTTTGTATGACCGCACAAGCAAAATAAAATGCCATGCAATAATGTAAAACATGAAAATGGATGAAAATCACAAGAAATTGCCACTGCTACTCTAGCTTCATATCACTCAACTCCTGTAATGCACTAGTTTTACAAGAAATAGCTGTTTTTAAGGATAAAGTGATAATACCATAAAAAATGTCTGTTAATTTCCAGCCAATTTCCTCAAATCGTTTTACAGTAAAGAGCTATTTTTTTGTGTATAACAAAATAATGCTGTCAAAAACTGGCTGTTAATTTACAGCAATTTTTTACAGTGTAGTACAGTATTTAAACACAAGTTTGAACACTCTTGGTCAGGTTACATGTTTTGTTGATTTTCTAAGTGAAAATAAGTTTTCATCCCCTACAGGGAACACACTTAAATATGGCCTTTTCTGCAATGCGTTGTGCACATTTTCTGCTTATTTGCTGAGTTTAACATACTGTAAAAAATATGACATAAAATATGAATTGTGCCATACCTTTTGCAAAGGACACATTTTATGTTCTTTTTTTCCTTTAGTGTGATAAATTCAACAAATAAACAGTGTATATTAAAATGTGCAGAAGTGTGTTCTCTGTAGAGGATGTGTTACCCGTTTTTCACTTAAAAAATCAACAAAACTTGTCATTTGACCAGGGGTGGCCAAACTTTTACATAGTGTGTGTCTAAGTATGATATAAGGCTGTGTGTGACATTTCTACGGAGCCCTGCTGGTGACATCCCATATAAATAAAAATAATCTGTGGCCATGATGGGATCGTGGGAACGAGATCCGAATGCGTGACCACGACTTAATAAGTTGTGGGAACGAGATCATGCCTTACTAAGTCGTGGCCACGCATTAGGGTCTAGCTCCCATGCCTTACTAAGTTGTGGCCATGACTTAATTATCTTGTTCCCATGCCTTACTAAGTCGTGGCCACGCATTTTTTTTTATTTATACTGGATGTCACCATCGGGGCTCCGCACATTTCCAAGGTTGTGATCTGAAAATGGCACCTTCAGTATAAATCAGCCTATACATGCGGCGTGTGTGAGATTTAGCCCTCTCTTAGTCTTCTTGCAAAATTCCTCCAGTCTGCAGAATTCCTAGAAAAGCAGATTTCAAATTACTGATGAAAAAGCTTATGGAGGCCTGTCATGCGAGGCGTGAGCCTTCGTGTGATTTGTCCTGAAATGCCTTTTCAGTGGTATAACTTCATTTTCGGTGGAAACGGATCATGACTGAACATTGTGGGCGGTCACTGGAGTAGACTCCAGATACACAGGAACGGCCAAGCGAACTATCTTTAGTTTAATGGAGAAGTTGTAGAAGAACATTTTTCACACGTGTTGTGGGTAAACAGCATACTTCACTGGCACGCGGAGCTCAGCCAGTATTCTTAGCTACATAGTTAAAGCTGGCAGGCAGATCCCTAATTTGATCAAATAATGTCACTTCCAGAAAAAACAAACGAGGCTTTCCAGCCTTTTGAACTACTTTTTAACTTAAGCTTTAACTTAAGCTTCGGCTTATACCGAGCACTAAAAGATCCTGTGAGTGAAGGTTTCCTGGAAGCCAGCGCATTCTCAGGCAGACAAGTCGTAGTTCCCCTCCCTCCCTTCTGTGGAACAAACCAGCAGCTGTGTATCAGACTACTTTCAGTTCTCAGCGACTCCCTGAAATGTGTGGATCTCTCCGCTTCTGACCGTGTTTAATAGCATTTTTGGGCTGGTTTCGACACGGTTTCTGTTGACTTCGCCTACTGTCGGTACTAAAACACCCTGTAGAGGCAAAACTTTGGATTTTCCCAGGAAGAAAGAACTTTTCTCGAGGATTTGAGGAGTTTTAACCAGAACTCTACGATGTTTTGCGGTTATCGGGGCATTTCTTTAATAACGTGCTTCTCTCTCATGTTCTTCGGAGTTGACGCCGTGTCAGGTAACATTTCATTTCACTTTATTTAACTGTTTTATACTGGTCTTAGTGTCGTTACGGACTCACTGCAGTAGGTTTTAACCGAACGGGTTAAAGGACACGATGCCGTGTTTTTGTTCCCATCCGTTTTTCTGATAAAGTCCCGCCTCCAGCGCGCGGACGGTCTCCGCTTCGCACTCATACACAGAACGCTTTTAGCAGCGGGGCTTTGTCAGAATACGAGTGGGGAAAAGCCCAGCGCGTGCTGGAGATCAGTTCTCTGGTTCCTGAAAATCTCTGACGTCAGTGCTTTGCCTTTTGATAAGTTTACATGGAAGCTGCCCCCGTATCTCCAAACCGGGAGTTTTACAGCATGTGGTGTAACTTACTGTCCCCTGTCTGTATATGATATGTTTTGTGTGGTTTTTAAACGTTAGACTTCCCAAAACGCATTTGTTTAGTTTTGCATTGCGCGTGGGGCTGTGCGCTCACAGGCAGCCTGACTGGACCAAAGATACTTCGTCGGCAGAAGTAAGCTGGCTGATAAAACCTCACAGTAACGGCCCTTATGTTGCCCAGCCACGAAAGAGGAAAGGAAGCTGCTTGTTCCAGCTAAGACAAGATTGTAGGCGCTTCGTATCAGATGTCTGAAACTTCCAGCTCAGTCCTACACTGTTAGAAATAAAGGTTCTGTACAGGTACATTTTTCGTTCATCAAGGTATAAACAACGTAAATTTACCCTCAAAGGTACAACGGTGGTTTTAAAGTCCAGTTGTGTACCTTAAATAAGTTTAGTCCAGTGGAAAAGTACATATTTGTACATTTTCATAACCAAATGTTTTAAACCAGAACAATAAGTCAGTACAATTTATAATTCAAATATAATTTCAATGGATTATGTTCCCTGACTAGGTACTGAGATGTACCCTTGATGGTACCACCCTAGTGATAAGAGGGGAACTGCCCCAGTGACAGTTTCACCTTTTTACCTTTTTTTTTTCTAAGAGTGTAGGTGTGTATGAAAACTAGCATTATCATACATTTTGATTCTAAAATGGTGGTAACAGGTTGTAACCCTGTTTCATCCATTTAAATGGGTCATTACAGCTTTTTAAAGAATTTATTCCCAAACATGGGTGTAGCAAAACTCAATACTTGTTGAAACAACAGGTTACAACAGTGGTGAAATGCAATCAGTGATCGGCCACCAAGACCAACAAAGACCAATAAAATTATCAAAACTTTAGAAAAGATATTGAGGCTTTTCGGCATTCCAAAACTCTTTACTTTAACAGTGTACTTCATTATTTTTAGGACTGTTTTAATGTCTATTATTATTATTATTATTATTATTATTATTATTATTATTATTAATGATTTTGTTCAACATTATTTATAACACTTGTCATTGTTTAATTAAATACACTCAATAAGGGCTACTATCAAAGAAAAGTATACTCTGATAACAAACTCTGTGTGCAGTTACTGAAGCACTTATCATACGTTTCTTCCTTCTATTGACGTTTTATGACTAATTGTTGTTTTTTCCTCCCGTTTTGAAGATGAACTGCCTCAACCAGGAAACCTGAGTCTGTCATGGAGCCCTGACTATTCGTCAGTGTGTGCACGGTGGAGTGAGCCAGCTGGTTTGGAAACAGATTGTAAAGTGAGCTACGAGATTCATTTTTATTCAAAGGTGAGACCTCAGTGTCTGCTTTTGAAATGGAGCCCACATTCACACAATAACATTATAGTCAATGTTTAAGGTAGTTATGATTTGTTGAATTAGTTAGCAAACCCTTTAAATGCATTAAAGATAATATGAAAAACAAGCCTACAAAAGAATCAACAGATGATTACTATTGTAGCTCATTTTAAAGACAGTCTATTGGAAAATCAAATTTTGACACCAAACATGACTTAGTTGATGAGCTATATTTCAGGAAACTGTGTTATACACACACACTTTCTAAGCCGCTTATCATCCTGGGTCATGGGGGTGCTGGAGCCTATCCCAGCGGTCATTGGGCAGACGGCAAGAAACACTTTGGGTTGGTCGGCAGTCCATCACAGGGTAGACACACACCTAGAGCCAATTTAGCATCTTCAGTTCACCTGGCTGCATGTTTTTGGGCTGTGGGAGGAAACCCACACAGACACAGCGAGAACATGCAAAGTCCACACAGATAGGAATCAAACCCAGGCCCTTCTTGCTGTGAGGCAACAGTGCTACTCACTGTGCCACAGTTCCATTCTATACATAGTTGAGAGTGGCCTTTACACATACAAGAAATATCAGAACTATATTATGATTAATTTGATCTTTTTTAGGGAAATGGAATTGTGTTTTCCATTGACATCAGCTGTTTTTCTTTTCGCAAAAACGTGTTATATCCAAATTTGTTGTATATGGATATATAGCATTTTGGAATGAAACTCTTCTTATGTAAAATATACAGTGGGATGATGTTGTTTCTTTATCTGCTGAAATAACCAGCACCTGTAAGCCATTTTTGTTGTGTTGAGTTTTTGGTTGCTAGTTAAAAACATGCGCATTGCAGATTGTACATTGGACTTTTGTTGCTTTGCATTGTCTCATATACTCAAATGTTTTCTAACTCTCCAAACAGAAATGTCCGCCCAGTGCAGAAGAGCCACGGAAATGGAGAGTAGAGAAGTTGACTCACACATGGAAAACTGAAGAGGATGAGATGTGTGTCAGCATAACAACAAACCCTAAGTGGAACTGTGGAAACAAGACTTCAAGTAAATCATTACTTCAAGGCCTCTCCCGACCTCCAGGTAATTAATATGAACAATATATGCTCAGAAGCCACTTCATGTTTGGTACACTTGCTCTTTAATGCAGTGTAGTCCCACAAACAGTGAGCCATTTAAGAGAGGTTAAAGGAAAAAGAATTACAGCTCCACTAACTACAGCTGCCTCAAGTTTGAGTCTTTGTATATTAAATTTTTGTCCGTGGAGCATTCGTTTGCTGGAAGCAGATGTGTTCTGGGGGATGCTAGCTTTTAGTTTGCTAGATAAGCTACTCCTAGCATCTAGTGCTCACTAGATTTGAATGCTATCTTAGGTAGCAGGTCAACACCTCCACACACTGCATTTGACAGCTTTATGGTTGGGCGATGTCTACCTAACTGGCATATGACACTCATCCTCCCCTACTCGCCCTATTCTTTCCTCACTTTTCCTCTGTATCCACCTTCTTTTTCACATGACCACAGTGTTTCCCGATTATGGCTTTGGTTGGGGAACAGAAGTGTTGTTCATTACCGTTTTTAGCAAAGTCAAAGAAAGTTTGTGAAATGTTTCTGGGGCAGTGTGCCATTTACTGCTGTCAGTACAGCCGAGTGAAGATGAAATTACGGCAAGAATAGCAATGCTACAAGCATACTGAAGAAGCTCAGAGCTCAGTAGACAGGAGACTGTGGCGTCATGAAGACTCAATAAAAAAGTCACTGTTTGCTTCTAAGACTCGCTACAACTTTTTTACATGTTATGTTCTCTTTATAACTGGCTATATTCTGCCCTCACTAGCAGACTGGTCAGGTAGCAGAAAGGTAGCTGGCTAACAGGCTAACACTACAATAATAATAGACTAGGGTGACCCGACCAGATGAATTAATTTAAGGGGAGATTTGCTTAGCACCTATACAGGCTTGAATATGACAGCTCTATTATACCATTTCTCATTTCTCATACCATTCTCCCTTCAAATTATTAATTTTGAATAAAGCGCATAGCCACATGCCGTGACTGGGTCAGTGGGCCATGGTTCTCTTTTTACTGCCAAAATATTTAATATGAATATGAATTAACCACTAAATCATCTGTGGTAAATCCCTGCCTCATCCTTGCCTATGCCGCAAGACTTATTGACTTCTAAGACCGTTTTTTCCTGGCAACTTCATTTCTAAAGCGCGTCTAGTGACAAATCTTGTGAGCAGAAATGCAAGAAGTGTGAATCTTTTATTGGTCTTTTGTAATTTATTTCCATGTATGTTGAATAACATCAACATCAGTCTCAGTCAGCAGCTTCTCTGGCAGCAGTGTCTTTCTCTCTCTCCTCGCATGTACGCGGGCAGGAGTGAGTTATTATGATTATGTGGAACAGCAGCAATGATGTGGGGTGGTGCTTAAATCTATTGAACCGTTGTAGTCTAATCATTTATTGAGTGTTCCATAGTTTACCATAGCTTCACTCAACATGGTAGGCTAATGTATGATTTTCTAACACGGTTTACAAATTTACTTAGCATCCAGTTTTATCATTCGGCCTTCACCATAGTTTATTACAGTACAACAGTTACCATGGTCAAAATACATGAGACTGGAACTGTCCCCACTAGTTCATAGATAAAAATATTGGTTATTTTAATAATGTATTAAGTGCTGAACTGGAAATGTCCCCGGTTTTAATTTCAGAAATCTGGTCACCTTATAATAGACAGACTTTAAGGTTAAGGTTACTTGAAATCGGAGACATACAAAGAAAAGAATGTTACTTAGTTACCTGTTATGAGCTAAAAATGTCCGTATTTAAACCAGAACTTGCATAAAAATATAAAATAGTGCTGAGCTAACCCTGCTAGCTTGACACTAATATAGCATGGTGAAAATACAAGGAGCATTATTGAAGCGGTGGTTTTAAAAACACCCCTGGAAGGCTGGTGTCCAGCACAGTTTGGTGATTGACCTGCCCAACTCATCTGTTAATTGCCAGGTTTAGTAGGTATGTTCGAGTAGGGAAACTACAAAACTGTGCTGGACATATTAGTTACATTATTATTACTATTTTTACTATTATGATTTATGTATTCTAGCTAAATGCTAGCTGCACTGTCCAAACCTCATGAACATTAAGTTAGCTATGTTAGCAACTTGCTGTGTAGCTAAAGGTTTCCTGTTACTACATCATAATGCTCTCATTAGCATTTGTTATTAGGCTATATTCTAAGATGATAGGTTCAAGTTCATTTGAGACTATAAAAGTAAGCTTCACAAATCATTTTTTATGGAAGTACAGAAAAGGGCTATAAATAGAATTTAGTCTGTTCAAGAGGCAAAATGCTGTCTTAGCTGGTATTACATAGGTGTACCTATGGAGTTATTTTACATATTTATTAGTAATTATTATTATTATTATTTTACTTATTTATTTAGTTTCTTATTTGATCTGCTACTGACTAGTTATTCACATTCCACAATTAATTGTTTCAATTCTTCCCAAAAACCATACCATTCCTGCCTCCACTTGTACACCACAAATCACACAAAACTGTATTTAACTCAGAATCTTTTTTTTTTTTCAGGTTTAGTGAAGAACTTCACTTGTCTTTATTACTCTCATATGAAGATGAACTGCACCTGGATCAGCAACACCACTGATCTCCAGCTCTTCTACAGGTAAGAGCTGATGACCAGACATGGCACTTTTTTAACTCTCTTCATCTTTCCTTTACATAGTTCTTTTGCTTATCCCACACATTTTTTATCATATTGCCAGTTGAAGCCAACTTTACAATGTCACACGCCCATTGGAGCTTAATCTTACCGTGTCTCTCTTAGGCCTCACAGTGAAAGCAGTCTAAAGCCGTGTGTCTCCTATATTGGTAAAGGACACATGAGGACAGGCTGCCACCTATACGGCAAAGAATTTGTGAATGATACATTCGTCTTTCTTGTCAACGGAACTCATGGAGGTTTCCCTGTACAGAGCAACTTCAATAGAGAAATAAGGAATTTTGGTAGGCTCTCTCTCTCTTTCTCTCTCTCTCTCTCTCTCTCTCTCTCTCTCTCTCTCTAGCCTTTGGAAGTTTGTAATGAAAACTAAACCTAGTCGTCTGTGTTCTCTCTCTCTTGCAGTGAAAGTACCACCCCCTAAACTTAGTATAAGCCTGGTTGGAAAGGATCTCCATGTTCGGGCAAGTCCACCTGATTTTAAATCATCATGTTGGAAGTACCAGTTTAACTTCAAAAAATGCAATGAGGTGAGATTACTCCGTCCATCCTTATTTATATTGTATTCTGTTTACAAAAATACAGTGGCTTGCAAAAAAATACTTTGGCTTGAGAAATGTAAAAAAAAAAGAACAAAACAAAATGAGAAACTGATGGTAGAATTCCAATTTCACTGTGTATTAGCACAAATATATGCCTGTGTGTTTGTGAATAGGATGAAAAATCAATTACTGGAAATCAACAGTGGGAATTTAGTTTGGAATATAATGAAGCCTGCCATTACACAGTACGAGTGCAGGCCATATACCAATACTGCGGAGAAGGAGGGAGTGACTGGAGCGCACCTGTGCACTATGGTACTGTACCTCCTTTTGGACTTCATTACATTGTTGGTTATTGCTAAAAATGTTTTAATTAAACTATAGCTATACTGATTTATTCAACAAGTCCAAAGTCTTTTAAACTCCAAAGTCTTATTTTTAACTAATACGTTATTTACAAATTAGCGACATGGTTCATTAATTTTGATTATTTATTAATTGCTTAATAATTTGTGCTCTGTTCACTTTTTCTGCAGGTGAGAATAGAGATCCAGTTGGGCCATTAAAGATGACTTCGATAGTCACCCCTATAATAGTGGCCTGCTGTCTCATTGTGGCTCTAGTGTTATGTCGAAGGTGAAGTTCAATATTCATATTTCATATGTATTTTTGGCTTGACTATTTGAGTCTTGAGTTTCTTAGTCAAAATGTGTGTTTACAAAACAAGAATACAGTATATATTTGATGAGAATTGTTTTTTTTTTCATAGACATGATTGTATATCAGTGCTTAAAATGACAAGCATATCTTTCTTCACAGACACAAGGATTACCTTTTTCCCAAGATTCCTGAACCATCGCTGTTAGTCAAGGATATGCTTAACAATAGTAAAGATAAGGTAATTTGTCATCACTACATTTTTTTATCACAGTCATTTCACTAGCAATGCACTGAGTGAGGTTTTCAAGTGCCTTATATTGTACAAGTACCAAAAAATCTACACAAGATTTTGATTCCATTTTTAAATTCCTGTGTACAATTTGTAAACTGCCTCTTACGCTACCTCATCACTTAGACTGAGCTTGGCTTTGGGTTGAGGGTGATGCCCTGGAATTGTAACCTTTGTCTTTTTCTGCACCATAGGGTCTAAATGTTGGAAAACTTTACATACCTTATGAAGATGTAGTGGAGAAGAAGATCAGCCTGGAGCCAGAGAGTACATTCCTGCATCCTGAACCATAAAAAAACCCACATTTGTGCACTATAAATACCATCATAGTTTCAGTGCACATGTCAGACTTCAGTCCCAGCAGTCCACAGCATTGCAGACTGTAGGATTCTGCCTTATGAAACACACTTGATTCAACTCATCAGTGACGAGGCTTTTACATTGAATTCAGAGCATTAGAAGAGGGAAAATGCTAATCACAGCAGAGCTGTGACTTGGAAGGAACCTGTGACCTTCAGATACCTCACTTTCGCCTGGTGTTGTGTGTGTGTGTCTGTTTTTCCTTTTCTGTTCACTTGCTTTATATGAAGGTCTACAGCTTAGTATGGCACAGATAATGTGGTGGGACTGCACAGATCCAAATCTATCACAAATGTATTTGATATAGTCACATAGATCTACTATCATCTTCCAATTCTCAGAGCTGAGCATGTAAGGACAGCAGAAGAATGTTTCATATCTGAAAACAGGGACAGTTCTGAGTGGCTGTCTGTAATTTCTTATAGTATTTCATATTAGCACAACAGAGAAATGGAACATATTCCTGCCATTTCTGCCATTGCTAAGTAGAGTAGTACTGTTCTACTGTGATACTACATGGTTAGCAGCTGGACTCTGTAGTTAATGAATACTTTATTTTTAATGTCTTTAAAGACCAGCAAAGTTTTATTACACACATCTGTAGCCTGTAAATAGTTCAGCCAGTTTGCATTAGACTCCCTGTAGTTACTGAAAAATAAGCCTTAGTATGCAATAAGCCTGGGATTTTAAGGGGTGAACTTATCAGTACATCGTCTCACTCATTTTGTGTAAGTTTACACTTTCGACTGGCCCTTTAAAGGGCCCATGTCTTATATTTATTTTTTTTTTATGAGGTCCACTTATGATGTTTGTATAGGTTAATGTACCAAAATGGTCATAATTCCTTATTTACATGACTAATTTTCTGTCTCTTTAACTGTTAGAATTAAACAGGCTGTTTGTTGTTGTACCCTTGAACTTATATATGTAAATAACCTCTGTTCTGAAGGCTGCCCTGTATTGTGCCTCACTTTAAAAGCAGTCTCCTTAAAACTTCAGTGTGAATTTTTCCGGGGCTTAGCTGCAGTTGGCTGAGTTTGTAGATGTATGTAAATGTGTTTGTTTTTGTAAAAAAAAGGAAAATCTGTTTTTCCACGATATGGGCCTTTTAAGAACGATTGGAGTTAGAATTCACATTCTTCATTTTAATGTGTTCTTGTACTCTTTGGTTGCTGTCTGTTTTTTGAAGACATGGGTGGTCCAAAATCTTCCCTTTTTAACTTGTGGGCCAAGAAAGCATAGATTATCATGGTTATTAGAACTGAACAGAGGAGAAGCAATATAGTGTGTTATACATAAACATATAGTATGAATATAATCAGGAGGAACACCACTGCATGTTAACCTCTCAGTGGTGATGGTGCTAGAAAGTTCTTCTGCCAGCAGTTTCTTGCTCTCCTCGTTCAATGAAGCTACCACACTATTGCATTTACAAAACATCCACACTATCGCTGATTATATTTGTATTTGTATTTTTGCAACAAACAGCACAACGCAGCTTTAAAAATGTGAGATGAGCATTATATCTCACAAAAAAACAAAACAAGTGAGTTTTGTTCTTGATGCTTGTCCACAGAAGTGCCTTGGCTGATTACTGTGGTCCCCTCAGCCCTTGAGAGTTTGCAGGAACACAGTTGAATTGTTATTTTTTCCCTTGTAAAGAAGCCTCCCTAGTAACAATTTTTGCTGAATAGACAGACTCGAAACAGCCAATACAGCTGTTTAAACAGCACAAAAGAGTGAGGGTCAGTTAAGAATTAGTCAAATGTGTTTTTGTTATTCCGTCCATCGAATGGTTCCTCTAAATAAATGCATGTATGTACATAATTATTGAGTTTTTTTGCATTATTAATAATAAAAGGTAATAAAAATACTGACTATTATTATTACAAACATGTTTTGTCTTGTAAGTGAAAAAGGTTAACATTCTCTACAGGGAACACACCTCTGCACATGTTTATGCACAGTTACTGTTTATTTGCTGAATTTAACATATTGGGAAAAAATAATAAAACAATGTGGCCTGTGTTATAGTTATGACACATTTTATATTTTATGTTTTTATTTTTCCAATTCATTACACTCAAATCAAAAATAAAAGGAAATATAGAAATACATTTGTTCTCTGTAGAGAATGTGTTAATTTATTGTCATTCTGACAGGGGGTTGACTACTATATATAGTGTTGCACTGGTCTGAGTGGATCAGACACAGCAGTGCTGCTGGAGTTTTTAAACACCTCAGTGTTACAGCTGGACCGAGAATAGTCCACCCACCAAAACTATCCAGCCAACTGTGTCTTGTGGGCAGCGTCCTGTGACCACTGATGAAGGACTAGATGATGACCAACACAAACTGTGCAGCCACAGATGAGCTATCGTCTCTGACTTTACAAGGTGGACCAAAAACACAGGTGCGTCTAATAGAGTGGACAGTGAGTGGACACAATGTTTAAAAACTCCAGCAGCACTGCTGTGTCTGATCCACTCATACCAGCACAACACACACTAACACACCACCACCACATCAGTGTTACTGCAGTGCTGAGAATGATCCACCACCCAAATAATATCTGTGGTGGCCCTGACCATTGAAGAACAGGGCAAAAGGGGGGTAATAAAGTATACAGAGAAACAGATGGACTACAGTCTGTAACTGTAGAATTACACCTAGTAGTGCACCTATATAGGTGGCGCTGATAAAAGTGAGTGTAGAAACAAAGAGGTGGTTTTAATATTACGGCTGATCAGTGTACATGGATCATTATTCTGAATTGGTTCATAGTCAGAGTTCAAAACACATTTTGGACTTTTTACTGACTTGGACTTTAGACTACAATCATTTTGCTTTTAATGACTCTGTACCTCAATTATGTTTATTTTATTAAAACAACTAATTGAACATTCCATTTTGCCACTACCAAAACAGTCATAACACTATTAACACTTTACGAAACATTTCTGTAGTGACTGTTTCAGTAATGACCATTTTAGCCAATGTTGAGCAAAACTCAAACACAGCTAGGAACAGTTGTACACAGATAAAATCATTATATTTTTCATTAAATTACAAAAAACGTTTGCTTAATTGCAGAAAATATGTGTCTAAAATGCAGGGATGTGGCTACAATAAGGCTCTGCCTATGGACTAAAACTCCTTGCGTTTCAATAGTTTCAAAGTTTTTAGGTTTAAAAGTTAAATTTATAGTAAATCTAAATCTTTCAGTTTCACTCAGAAAGACATCTCCCAGTAGAGCGTACCCTATAAACAATGATCTTGTATTTATTTATCTTAGTATTATCTCTATTAATACCTTGGGCTTAAATAGATCAGTGCACAACCCTTGTAAATATCTAAGGTTTGATTACTTCATATTCAAACAGTACTAATAATACTATTATAGTCTAGTCTATTGTTATTTATTGTTTGCTGCAAGAGAACATATCTGTTGGTGCATGACGTAATTCTAAATATGTTTATCGAGGAACTGAATAACAGGAGGAAAAGAGCACACAGGCCAACAACTCATCATCAGCAGCGGCTGATTTGTTTCCAGCTGTGCGGCTCTCAGAGCAGCACTCACAGGAAGCTGAAGTAAAGCAGGCGCATTTGCTCTCCGCCATGATGGTTGCGGCGGTGGACACGCTCAGAGCGCCCTCTGCTGGCCGAAACACAAACAGCGCCTCCAGTGTGGTGCTGATGCTGCAGGATGCTGGTGGAGGACACGGAGCGCTGTGTGGCTCTAAAGCCGCGCTGCTCGCGTCCTATTGGCTCAGTCTCTGTGGCGCAATGGAATAGCGCGCTGGACTTCTAATCCAGAGGCTCCGGGTTCGAGTCCCGGCAGAGATGCATCGCCACGGACAGCGCCTTCTACAAAGGCTTTGTTTTGGTCATCATCACGACCGAAACTGACCTCCATTTCAGATTAGCGGCTGTGTGTAGGATGCTGCGATGTGTACGGAGAAAGAACGAGAACAAAAAAGGTGACGTTTGTCCTCGTGTTGAGTGAGAACAGTTAGCTGAGGTGAAACATCCTGAAGAAAAAGGGAACGGTCAGTCTGTTAATGGGCGTCTGAACACTCCATCTACCTTTATCTGAGTAGCCATTACATAAAACAGTTCAATACTACTACTAATCCTAATAATTTAAATACACACAACCTCAAAATAATGTCACTGTTACATTCAACATCTTAAACAGGGATGAAAAAGTATAGAAATTATACTTGTGAAAGTGGGTACTTTGTCAAAATCTTGCTCAGTTTGAGGTGATATGTAAGTATAGTGGTAAGTATGGAGCCTAAAATAAGTCAAGAAAATCTACATTTAAAGACACTCAAGTATATAAAAGTACAAAGTGAGGAACCAATCAAAAAACAAAAAAAACAAAACAAAAAAAAAAACAATAGACCACTTTAGATGTTCTGTTTATCTTGTGTTTGACTTACATTCAACTACATATGTATCAAGTTAACCTTAATTTCCCCAAAACTTAACCCTGACCCTAACCTCAATCTAAAACCTAATCCTCAACCTGCTCCTAAACCTTATACTGGTACTAATCCTAATCCCAAACCTAATATTGTTCAGAATCAACTCAGTTTCACCAGACAGTTAATAATCTGATCATCTATAGCTCTGTGGTGGTCCTGACCATTGAACAGCAGAGTAAAAGGGGGCTAACAAAGTATGCAGAGAAACAGATGGCCTACAGTCTGTAATTGTAGATCTACAAAGTGCTCCTATATGGTAAGTGGAACTGATAAAATGGACAATGAGTGTAGAAACAAGGAGGTGGTTTTAACATTATTGCTGATCCGGTGTGTTTTTTGCTGATGGTTCTGCACTTCAGTTCCGCCAGAGGGCGCAGCTCACCCGCTTAACTGCAGGGACAGTTCAGAAACTGTTCAGCTGTAAGGAATGACATTAACACACAGTGTCCCTTTTAATGTTTTGGAGCACAAAGTGAAGCCCTGGCACACTTTACGGACCTGTGATGATAAGTGTATCGTTGCTTGCACTAGACTCTCCGGTGTGTTTTCCGTCGTGTCACTACAGTGATGAACCGCTGACTGCAGCTGGACGGAGAGAAGCGCAGAGGAGCGTTGATTTCCGTTTTTTATCTGCTAAAGGCTAGTTTTCTTCACGCCTGCTGTTTTTTCTGAGGAGTTGCAAAGCAAAGCGGGAGAAAAGGAGAGCGGGAGGGGGAGACTGGAGGTAAAAGAAACGACGGGGAGGGGGAGGGGGAGGAGGGGGGAGTCAAACGCTGACGCCAGAGAGAGAGAGAGAGAGAGAGAGAGAGAGAGAGAGAGAGAGAGAGAGAGAGCGCTGCGAGGAATGTGCTGCTAATGAGAAAACGGAGCGTCGCTGAACGAGCGGCACAGACAGAAGGGGAAGAAGAAGAAGGAGGAAAAAAAGGAACAGAATGCTGTAAAGCAGGGAAGAAGAGAGAGGGAGAGGTGGAGAGAAAAGAGGCACACGCATGGAAAGGATTATAGTGAAGCGTGCGGGGGTTTTCGACGCTACCCATGCGGAGATTTGAGCTAACGGCTGAACCATGCAGGGCTCGCTGCTTCTCCTGAGTTTGGCGCTGAGTTTTCCCGCAGGTAAGAATGAGAAGGAGCCGTTTGAGTTCAGCGCCGTGGTGGATTTATATATATATATTTGTATTTCGCTTTTGGTCAAAGAGGTAAAAGTTGGTTCGAGTATTTGGGGGAGTCGAAAGCTTCGCTTAATGAGAGAGAGAGAGAGAGAGAGACAGACTGCTCTGCTCGCCGTTATGTGGTGTTCGTATCTCCTGTGTGCTCAGTGATGAAGGAGCCGCATGACCTCCAGTGTAGGTGTGCAGAGCGTTTGGTGTGTATGTGTGTGTGTGTGTGTATGTATGTGTGTATGTGGATCAGATGCGCGGCGGAGGCCACTCGGCCGGTGCGGAACAGTGGTGCGCTTTTTCCTCGAACGTCCCTTCATCACGAGCATACCAATTGAGCGTGAGGGTTTAGGGGGTGAAACGGGGTGTGGGGGGTGCGCACACACACATACATGCATACACGCACATGCACATCGCTCCTTCATTGACGTGCATGCAGCAACTGCGCTGCTGGTAAACGAGCCCAAACTCTCGCGCAGATGAAGCCTGTAAATCAGCACTTTTCTAACAGTGCAGATAGAATCAGGTCCAGCTCAGTGAGCGAGTGTGTGTGTGTGAGAGAGAGTGTGTGTTTTCTCATGACAGTCCTTCAGCAGTGTGGAGAACGAGTTGCTAGGCGACATTACGGACCGAACAGCGCGACAGCGCGAGCTGCTGCGAAAAGAGAGAGAGAGAGAGAGACCTGTTAGAACACAGCGAGCTCGCGCCTCTGCGGACACCGTTGCTGACCATTGTCTGCTGTCGCGTGCAGAGAGAGTGAGAGACGGAGAGAAAAGAGGGCGGAAGAGAGAGGTATATGGAGAGAAAAGAGAGAGGTATATGGAGAGAAACAGAGACTAAGAGAGAGGGAGCAGGAGGTATATGGAGAAAAAGAGATAGAGAGAATGAGGGAGGAAGAGAGGTATATAGAGAGAAAGAGGTATGGAGAGGAAAAAGGGAGAGAAAGAGGGAGGACAAGGGAGGTATGTGGAGAGAGATAGAGTAAAAAAGAGGGAGGAGTAGAGAAGTAGAAGGAGAGATGAAGCGGAAGGGAGGGAGGAAGAGAGAGGTATATGCAGAAAAAGAGAGATGGAGAGAAAGACAGGGAGGAAGATAGGTATATGGAGAGAAAGAGAGGTTTTGAGAAAAAGATGGAAAGAAAGAAAGGGCTAGAGAGAGAGAGATGGAAAGAAAGAGATATGGAGAGAAAGAAAGGGATGGAGAGAAAAAGGGACCACTGGAGAGAGACATGATAGACAGAGATGAAGATAGATTGAGAGAGAAAAGTGGGAGAAATGGAGAAGCAGAGAATGAGACAGACATGGAGGAGAAGGAGGGAGAGAGAGAGAGAAAGAGAGAGAGTGTGTGGGTGAGCGCCAGAGCAGGTACAGACCACTCCATCATAGGTGAGGGGCGTGCTCTGCTTTGTCCCAGCTAAGGTATTACAGATGATGTAATCCATTCTTGCGGAGTAAAATCTGTTCAATTTCTTAAAGCTGTGAGCGCAGACCGAGCTCACCACAGACCAGTCAATATGGCTTCTTCACTGTTCATTCAGAAAGGGTCAGTAGCACTGTCTTGGTCCAAGTAGCACACAGAGATGCTCAAAGATGTCCATCGTTCATTCCCTGAGATTTCACTTCACAACAGTAGACATGTACAATGGCTGAACAGATACAGCACACAGTCTGAGGTCATTATCAAGGTGTTCCATGGCTGTGAGAAAAAAGACCTGAACAAATTCACATAAGATTACCTCAGCATTCCAGAGTTTACCTTCATATTGCCTTTTTTATTATTTGTCATGTATTAGTATTAAAATATGAATGACCTGAAAGAACATGCTTCTTGTAGTTCTAAAGTAAATCAAAAGTTGTACATATTTATGAATAGTAATTATATGCTTGTCATGTTTTAATCATCTTACAAGTCTTTATATTGCAACAGTTTATGTTCCTGGAATCCTGCTTTCTCCTGTCGTATGACGCAGTCACCAATTCAGCTTACCATGATTAGTGTTCTGCTGTCAGTGCACTGAGGCAGTTGCTAACATATTGTAACATGTACTATGCACTGCAGTAGATCAGAGATTACTGGTCCTCTGTCCATGTGTCAGTTAGTGGGTGTGAGTTTGGTTTTCGTACATTATGACGAGCTTACAAATTTCAAACAAAGATTTTATTTTGTTTGAAAAATATACCAGTGTAGTATGTTCAAAAAATATTTTGGCATGTTAGTTTTGGGATGTGTACTCTCTAGCACTTGGTTCATTTTGCTTGGACGCTTGTTGGAGTGGGCAGGGCAAGGAACCACTCTGGGTGTTGTGTATATGTGTGTCTGTGTATAAGTGTGTGTGGACACACAAGAGAGAGAGACATGAGCTGGGTAGAGAGCGAGCTGTTAGAGAAAGTCTTCGCTTATGTATGGCGTGGCTGTGACTGACAACAGCTGGAAAATAAACCACAACATGTATGAAAGTAGTGTCTTTTCAGTAGCAGTGAGCACTAAAGCTGGTGTCAGAAGTGGGATACTTTATTTCATGTAGTTTAACTATACCGAGTTGTTCATGATAATAAATCTTGTTCTTTCTTAGTCAGTTGGAATTATTTATTAAGCACATTACCATCTGTCCTAACATTTCCTTGGAAAAGTCTTTGGCTGTCATGATATAAACAGCTCTCAACTAATATACTGTCAAAATGATATTGTCAGCTGATTTTTACCCCTTATTCTAGTCTGTCAGTATCAGCATTTACTCCACTGATTTGGCCAAAATTTCAAGAGATGCTTTAACTTCTGCTTTTTTTATTTGTCTATATAGTCACATTTATACTGGTTTCAGCAATACAGCAAAACACTAGATATCCCATCAGTCTGAGTGAATGTAACATCATTTCAAGCATAAAAATAGAGAACTAAAGAAAAATGCTGTATATGTAAATAAATAAGGGGGTCAGTACTTTAACTGTTCTTTAATTAACTCAACAAAGACAAGCCATACAAAAAGAGGAATCTACTTCTATGGCACTACTTGTTATGCCTGCTACCTGGTGTTTAATGAGTGAGCTAGCTAACAGTCCGTCAACAGGACTAGCTGACAAGAAAAGGCAAATGTGATGATAAAGCAGGCCCTGCTGAAAGACTAGCCAACATCAGCAAACGTAAAAAATCCTGGTTGTTTTTCCTTAAGACAGCCACCACAAATAACTACCACAGATCAGCTACCTATAAAATTGACTCTTGCCAGAGTAAATCTGGCAATCTATTTTTCCACATGGCAAGTGAATTAGCCTAAGCTTCATGGCTAGCTGGTTAGTATCATTTGAAGCAAAGCAGGACGAGCATGTTTCAGTGTGAGGTGTCCCATGGCTAGTCTTTCTTTACCTAGCATAAATTTAGCTTGCTTGATGGCTATGATTGATTCTGAAGCTGACCAGTAGGCCTAACATTTGTACGAATATTTACAGTGACAGTGAGATGGTCTATTTAAAGTTTAGACATTGAGTTAGTGGGGCAGACAGATTAGTATGCAGACGCAGACAAGGAGAGAGAGGCAGTGAAGATTTCTTGGAATTTCTGTCATGATTCTGAACCTGCAAATGTTAGACTAGTGTCTAAGGCACAGTCATTTTACAGCCTCAGACTTGTCTTGGTGTGGTGAGCAAAGGGCTTTTTTAATCATTAATTGAAGTTGTCTTTAGTAGCCTACAATCTATTAGTTGTTAGTTTTATCTGAATTGTAATTTAAGCGTTTTTAGTGGTCTGTCACAGGTATGTACAGAGCTTTTTTAGACATAATAACTGAACATAACGTCTTATGTGTTTATGTTGCTAATGTTAGCAGTGAGTTCTTTCAGCTACCAGTTAAGGCTACTGTAACTTATCTGTTTTCTAGTTATGCTAAAGCTTCAGGCTTGAGATTCTCAAGGATGCTGTTTGTACAGGGGTGGAATATCTGGTCATGGCAATCTAACTGAATTTGTGTAACTGGATCATTGTCACTGAATTTTAATTTAATAACAAATAACTTTTTGACCAGATTCTGCAAGCATGACAAGCATATTTTATAGGCATTGACATGCATAAACAGAGTGAATGCACTTAAACAGACTGTGCAAATGTTTAGATCTTCTGTGTTCCAGAAAATATATCTATTGATTAAATCAATTATGTGCATTACTACAGGAGAATTCTGGTCTTTGAACTGTCCAGTGGTGGGTGATATATGAACACATCATCTGATTCCATCATCTGACATGTATTTCTTAGATGATAAACACGTGCCATACCCTGACTTTCTGTATGAAGTCTTTGTTAAGCGCATGCGCAAGTTTAGTCCTCTACATACGCGTAATTCTCATGATGCTTTTCACTTATCAGTCACACTTGTATTTTTTAGTTGTTTGGTGGCTGGTTTGGTGGTTGTTTCAAACTGAAGCAAACCCATGACTTTCGAGGAGTTAATGACCAAATAAGCCAGTTGTAAAAGAATTTCATTGTTAGTCTTTTTTGCGCATTTTTCTTCGAAAACAACTGAAACAGCAAAGTTACCTCTTTTTTCAATTTGATCTTTTTTCACTTACCGTTGTGCTTAACTTGCAGTGACTTGACTTGCAGTGCAGTTATAGAGGACATGTACTATTAGCAGTTAAAATGGATTGTGAATGGTAATAATTTTTGCTATTTTTTTATCACACAAATGGATCATTTTCCTTATTCACAAAAAATAGATGCAGTTAAAGCCATGAAGGTGTGTTAATGTAGTGGGAGATCCAAATTCTAGCATGCACAATGTTTCTGGATGTCCAGGAGTAATCAGTCCCAACCTCTTCCACCCCCCCCCCAACCCAAAAATGTATCATTACATCACGTTTGATTCATTGAAACAGACATTTTCAGTTCAGTAAACTGAATCAGACTTCCCATCACTATAACATGTTCTTTGTAAGTTAACCTTTTTAATCAGCTTACTAATTT